GCGGCAGTTATAATCAGTTGCACTTACCACTACAACCAAAATGGTGATGATGACGATCAAGATACCGACTGCTATTCCGATGGCGATGTAGGTTCTTTCCATCTCTGTGAAGCCGGTAGGCTTAGCTGGAGCTTCCTCGCCTTTTGCCGAAACTTTTTCGATCTATAAATAAAGGCATAATGAATCGTGCGCAATGCCAAATATGTAAAACTATTTTTTTTATCATTTTGTCCAAAACTATCATCTCTTTGTGTGTCTGCTTCGAGGACAGCTTCTGTGTCCGTGATCATTTTTTTCACACCTACTGTTAGAAATAAGTAAATGCACAGTGATAGCCAGGAAATTAACCATGTTACCTTTAATTCAAATACTGGTCCAAAAAGTCGCCCGAGATTATTTTCAACCAAGTAATAAAGGACATTGAACGCTTGTTTAGTCATGTCTTTATCAACAGTGCCGTCAGCTTTAATCACGTAAAACAACAGTGATGCCTTGTCCACGTTGTTCTTCGCAGGGCAGTTATCGTCAAAATTAATGAGGTATATCTGTGTTGCGTTAATAGGTTCGCCGTTGTCCTGAAGGAGTAATTCGGCAAGTTTTGTCTTGAAATATGTTTCCATAAGACAGAATTCTGACCAGGTGAATTTAAAGTCCATTTGGAGGTACACTGACGGCAAAGGTTTAGTAGCTCCTGCGGTGGAGAAAAAGAAATAGAGTCTTTAAGCATATCTGAGATATGCTGTATAATTGTAATAGAACTGAGCAAGTCCAATTCGGGGTGTAATCATATCAGTGATTAACAAAATCGGACGACCGCGAAGCGGAGTCCGATTTGTTAATCACGAGTATAAGAATTGGACGACAAGGTGTCCCGTTACAAATAAATCATAACTATTACAATTTCTCAAACACTGAGTAAAAGTTTCATATGAATTAAATATGGTGATTACAAATATGGAGAATAGCTTGCAAAATGGCTGTTAAGTTTCTTTGAAAATAGTCGCCGGAGATAACAATTTCAAAGTCACTCATTTGAATTGGTTACTACAGTGACTGTAATCAATGTTGTGATTGGTGGATTTAGTTGAGAGGACTTAAAATGATTGGCTCGTGTAACTGTCTGATTACAGGTGTCCGATTACAGTCAATTGTCCGATTACACACTGTCCGAATACAACTTTGCTCATTAATTAGTGCAAAATACTGCAGTTTATGCACCAAACACATTTGAGGAAATTGTTATTGTTATGAATAAGCCAGCAATATGACTTAGGTTTCAGTTACTTCCTTCAAGCTTATAGTCGCTCGAGGCAGTTTTTCCGTTCACTGTCTGTTTTCAAAGAAATGACTGGTTTGTTGGGGGGTTTTTCACGTTCTATTGCGAAAAAATGTCTGGATCAAATAATTAAAAATTAAATTCAGTTTTAAGCACATCCTTACCTGTCACAAGAGATGGAGCGCAAATCAAAACTACGAAGCCTAATGACAGAAAGGTCATGATTTTCAAAGCTGAAAAAAAAAGTTTACAGGTAATGAGTTGGCCTGGACTTAACATAAACTTCAACTTCAGTCTTCTTTTCCCTCCAAGGTCAATATACCCTTTTAGCTTGGAAGGTTCATTGTCCCATTACAGACCACGTGGTTTTCTCTAGAGAATTTTTCTTTTATTCATTTAGAAATAATCCATTCATATACACGCGACTATTTGAAAATTTGAAAGCAAGAATTCTCAAGAGTATCATCACATGGTCTGAAATGGGGCAACAAACCACCCACTTTATCACTTGCACTGGCGGTTGCCTCCAAACGAATTGTTGTCGCCCCAGGCACCCTAAACTAGTCTACATGAGTTAACAACTGTAGTGCGCCGCCTTTGATGCAGGCATTATTAAGAAATCGACCCAACTTACGCATAGGATAGGAGAGCATGTGTGCATATATTTCTCGAAGTTACGAGTATCAAATTTAACTTTCATCTTTACCATATCTCTATTGTGATTACTAATTTGCTGAGGCAATACCGGCCATGCCATTTTCAATTAATTGACTTGTAAATAGTAGAAAAATTAAATCTCATGATCAGTCAAAAAAAATAATTACGTTTCAAAGTCGTGTGCATTAACCTCTTGTTGAAAGTTATTCAAGTCCTCGCTGTCGAAAAAATTATTATTTTTATATAAAAGACCTCAGTAAATGACCCTTGAAAAGCATGAACCGTGACAAACATAATTAATTCTCTTTCAAGGGTGACTTCATAGCTTAACACAATAAATAGAAAATCTGAATAATTTTCAAGAGTAGGCAGATCGTGTTGTTGGAAGAATTAAGGCAAACGTTTACAATAACAATTCAACTCAGAATTCCACTTGGAATTTTTTAATTTAACCCGTTGAACACGTGCCGTTTTCAAAAGGTAATACCCACTTAAGACTCCAGGGGCCCGTTTCTCGAAAGCCCCGGAAACTTTTCGGACCCGTCAAGCCATTTTTAGTTCATCTGTATCTAAAAACAGAGAGGTGTATACGCCTGAAACTTCTTGTATGAAGAGAACCTCGGTTAATATTTAGAATATGTTAATAAAACAGCTCTGTAATCAAAAGGTTTGAGATTTTGCTACGGCTTTCCGGGTGGGAAAACTTTTCGGGACTTTCGAGAAACGGGCTCCTGAATTTCATATTCGCAGCTAACATTTATTATCTCACTAAATGACCAGATAAGCTAATTAGATAAAGCAGTCACGGATTTACTGTTCAGCTCATCAGTAAATTTGGAAACTTAAAACAATCAATTTTGTCAAATGCCTTCAAAATCGATGATTAATTTTGCCTCCCAAATGTGAAAATAATGTGTAATGTCCCTTTCCTTTTAGGTGAAGGACTCACGTACGTTTCGGCGTTTGACGTGGTTTAGCATGGTGGATTTCGAAATCTAAATAACTGAAGCACACCTTTCAGGTAGAAAGCTTCATGTTTCTTTCTTAAGCCGCTATTTCGACAACATCGTTTTAAAATACATGTACACAACAAAAAGAAAACTGTAAATCTGAATTACGAAAAGTGCAACCGAGTTTTGGTGGTCATGTGCACTAACCGCGAACGCGATAATTTTAAATCCTGGTAAATACATGGACAACAGTTTTGCCGGCTACGAATAACTTTCAGCTTACAGCATCGTTCTCTTATTGATAAATCTGTCCATAGCAGTATCGAGAGATGATCACAGATTTAAAGCTCGAGATGGAACTTGACAACGAAGCCGACATTAGTGATCTCTTCAAACTTCTCTATTTTTAACTTAATAAATCGCCTGGAGCACTCGTAGTCTGACTGCTTCTATAATAAACCCAAATATTTGGCAAACCTTTTGCCTCGCTTCGTGAGGCAATTGAAACTCCGGTATCTGATTCGTTTGAAGCGTTGCTACCTTGTCCCAAAGATTAACTAACACAGTCGACGGGCAGTCTTGTTGTGAAGGAATTTAACCGTGGGAAGATTTCGTATTGTGATCAAATATATTCATATTCCGTTGTTCACAATGACAACGTCAAAGGTCTAACTTTAGTTGTTATGCAAAAGTAGTTTCAACGGAAATAAGTACGTGAAAAAAACCCCTGACAAATATACATGAAAAACTTTAATAACTATCGGAGAACAACTATTTGAAGCATTTACGCGGCATTTAAGATTCCATAAAGACTTTATGACAATAAGTCATAGTTTATTAACAACTTCGACAAAGTATGAATGAAAGTTCGAGATGTTTGATTATCATAACAAAGCAATTAAGTTGCTTTCAGTTACGCCAGTACAACACCTACACAAAATTTAAGTGACTCAGTACGTGGTAATGTCAACGTCAGACTCCTCAGTGTGTTTCTGATACGCTCCATACATTCGTATGTGCAGTTTGTAAGAACTTAGCCCCAACGGGCTCCAACACCTGACTCGAACTCAGTTTTTATGGG